TCTGTAGCAATCTTTTGATATCACACCATTCACTTCCCGTCGTGGATAGATGCAATAATGTCTCTTTAACTCTTTCAGCAATCTTTCGATATCATGCGCTTCACTTCCCGTCGTGTATAGATGCAATAATGTCTCTATAGCTCTGTATACAATCTTTTGATATCACACCCTTCACTTACCGTCGTGTATAGATGTAATAATGCAACTCTGTCAGCAATCTTTTGATATCACGCCCTTCCCTTCTCGTCGTGTATAGATGCAATAATGTCTATAAAGCTACAATCGTTTGATATCACGCCCTTCACTTCTCGGCTTATATAGATGTGATTATGCCTCTATAGCTTTGTCTGCTATCTTTTCATATCACGCCCTTCACTCCATTTGTGTATAGATGCAATAATGCATTTATAGCGCTGTCTGCAATCTTTTGATATCAAGTTCTCCATTTTTCGTCTTGTATAGATGCAATAATGCATTTATAGCTCTGTCTGCAATCTTTTGATATCACACCTTTCACTTCTTGTCGTGTAAAGATGCAATAATGTCTCTATAGCTCTGTCTGCAATCTTTTGATATCACACGCTTCACTTCTTGCCGTGTATAGATGCAATAATGTCTCTATAGCTCTGTCTGCAATCTTTTGATATCACGCCCTTCACTTTTCGTCGTGTATAGATGTAATAATGCCTCTATAGCTCTGTCTGCAATCTTTTGATATCACACCCTTCACTTACCGCCGTGTATAGATGTAATAATGCTTCTATAGCTCTGTCTGCAATCTTTCGATATCACGCGCTTCACTTCCCGTCGTGTAGACATGCAATAATGTCTCTAAAGCTCTGTCTGCAATCTTTTGATATCACACCCATAATTCACTTCCCGTCGTGTATAGATGTCTCTATAACTCTTTCAGGAATCTTTCGATATCACGCGCTTCACTTCCCGTCGTGTTTAGATGCAATAATGCCTCTTTAGCTCTGTCAGCAATCTTTTGATATGACGCCATTTACTTCCCGTCTTGTATAGATGTAATAATTAATGTCTCTATAACTCTTTCAGCAATTTTTTGATATCACGCGCTTCACTTCCCGTCGTGTATAGATGCAATAATGCCTCTATAGCTCTGTCACCAATCCTTTGATATCACGCCATCCTTTGATATCACGCCCTTTACTTCCTGTCGTGTATAGATGTGATAATGTCTCTATAGCTCTATCTGCAATCTTTTGATATCACGCCCTTCACTTCCCGTCTTGTATAGATGTAATAATGTTTCTATAACTCTTTTTAATTAATCTTTTGATATGACGCCCTTCACTTCCCGTCTTGTATAGATGAAATAATGTCTCTATAACTCTTTCAGCAATCTTTCGATATCACGCGCTTCACTTCCCGTCGTGTAAAGATGTAAAAATGCCTTTATAGCTCTGTCACCAATCTTTTGATATCACACCCTTCACTTCCCGTCGTGTATAGATGTAATAATGTCTATATAGCTCTGTCTGCCATCTTTCACATCCTTCACTTCCCGTCGTGTATGGATGAAATAATGTTCTCTATAGCTCTATCTGCAATCTTTTGATATCACACCCTTCACTTCCCGTCGTGTATAGATGTAATAATGCCTCTATAGCTCTGTCAGCAATCTTTTGATATCACCCCTTCACTTCCCGTCGTGTATAGATGCAATAATGTCTCTATACCTCGGTCTGCAATCTTTTGGTATCACGCCCTTCCCTTCTCGTCCTGTATAGATGTAATAATGTCACTATAGCTCTTTCAGCTATTATTCAATATCATGCGCTTCACTTCCCGTCGTGTATAGGTGCAATAATGCCTCTATAGCTCTGTCAGCAATCTTTTGATATCACGCGCTTCACTTCCCGTCGTGTATAGATGCAATAATGTCTCTTTAACTCTTTTAGCAATCTTTCGATATCACGCTACCATTCCCGTCGTGTATAGGTGCAATAATGCCTCTATAGCTCTGTCAGCAATCTTTTGATATCACACCCTTCACTTCCCGTCGTGTATAGATGCAATAATGTCTCTTTAACTCTTTTAGCAATCTTTCGATATCACGCGCTTCACTTCCCGTCGTGTATAATTGCAATAATACCTCTATAGCTCTGTCAGCAATCTTTTGATATCACGCCCTTCACTTCCCGTCGTGTATAGATGTGATAATTCCTCTATAGCTCTATCTGCAATCTTTTGATATCACGCCCTTCACTCCATTTGTGTATAGATGTAATAATGCCTCTAGAGCTCTATCTGCAATATTTTGATATCACGCACTTCACTACCCGTCGTGTATAGATGCAATAATGTCTGTATAACTCTGTAAGCAATCGTTTGATATCAAGCCCTTCACTACCCGTCGTGTATAGATTTGATAATTCCTCTTTAACTCTTTCAGCAATCTTTCGATATCACGCGCTTCCATTCCCGTCGTGTATAGGTGCAATAATGCCTCTTTAGCTCTGTCAGCAATCATTTGATACCACGCTCTTCACAACTCGCTGTGCATGGATGTTATAATACATAATTATTATATAGCTCTGTCTGCAATCTTTTGATATCACGCCCTTCACTTCTCGCCGTGTATAGATGCAAAATTGCCTCTATAGCTCTGTCATCAATCTATTGATGTCACGCCTTGTATAGATGTAATAATGCCTCTATAGCTCTGTCTGTATTCTTTTGATAACACACCTTCATTATAAATTATAATTCTGTGATTGATTGTAATGCCCGACTATGTTCATGTCTCACATATTTGTTAATTTTTTTTTGTAAATGACAGATATTTCAAGTTAAGCATTGTCTTAGTTGTGGACTTAAAGGAAATATATAGCGATATTGCATTACATTAGATTCTGGTAAAAATAAAACTGTAATAGCATGTCTCATTCGCTGCTCAGTTCTTGTGTTTCGTTTTGGCAAGGACTGCACTTTGCGAATGTCACTGTATATGATAGAATTATATCTAAGGTTATGTTGTAACAAAAAGACACTATAAGAAACATGCTCATGTGATATACATGTATTAGAAAATATGACAGCAAACTATTTTGTAACACCTGTTGTATAAGATTTGAGTTTTCTAAATTTTGATTCTGTACTTCTATTTCGACAAGTGCAGTCTTAAGGAAATTGCCTCTCTTCAGTTGTTATTAATGCTATGCTATCATAATATGTTTTGTTCTTTATTATTTCATGTAAATATTTGTATATTTTTTTGTTTGTTTGTTTATATATTATGCTCTTCAACTATTGGAGGAAATAAAAGAATATAATAATGTCTCTATTGCCAAGTCTATTTTCTTTTGATATCACACCCTTGACCAATAATGACTTATAACTCTGAAGCCAAAACTCCTTTTAACATTTCAGGCACTCCTAAATAGAAATGTGTAAAATCAAATATTCTTATCAAGATGCCCGCCATTTTCAGCCCAGCAGTTCGAAAAGTTTATCTCTCTAAATTAATCAGATGAAAAGGCCAGGAAATACACTCGACACTTATATAAAAGTAGCCATGCCGAACTATTGATAATCATTTTAGAAATTATTTATTAAAAAGAATAGAAATCATCAGAAAATAAAAACCCACCTTACTTAGTTTTCTAAGAATTAGCTAGTGTTGTAACAGTTGTTACAGAAGCACCCGTTTGTGCTAAAGGTGTGCGTTGAATATGGGTACATAACTCTATCGTATAAACTTTAAAACTCGCGCACACTTCTTTTCAACTCTTTGATAGGCTGGCTTTATGTAAGGCGTAAACCAGCCGAAAACCAATGAATAAAGATTTAAAAGGGGTCTGTTAAAATTGTTGGTGTATAAATGACAGACCTGTACATAATTATAAACTTGCTTTTCTGTCATGTCTAATTATGAAATGGCAGTTACAATAAACAATATGATGTTATAATTTCAAAACGTTACAGTGTTGCACAAAAAGTTGAATAAGCGACAGGAAACTTGAGAAAAGGAGGCACGACATGTTGTGTAAATAATATTGCATTTAGTGGTGTTCAACAAACATTGATAGCTCACTTGGCCTACTAAATGAGGGTCTCTGCAAAATCGACGGTATCTGCCGGTTTCCGAAGGCCACCTAGGAGCATCGACCTGACGAGACGTATATTGGTAGAAACAATAATATCGACCGTCTCGTGATTATACACGGACTTAAGTTAATCGATTGACCTGAAAAAGGATCAGTGAATTATAAGTAGTTGATTATAAAAGCCGGCCAACAAGCAAATTATCTGGGACGATAGGTTATTAATGTCAATATTTTTGGATGATGTGGAAACTTACATTTTGATTGAAAATGAAATTTTAATTAATATGCTATTTTTTTAAAGACTGTCAATTATTATGTAGATAACCGGCCATATGCAATTATTGTTCAAATTTTTAAATATTTCATTTTTAATTCAGTCTTCGACGGTGTTTGAAATGTTGATAATTATTCGTAAAGTCACAAATACATTTTATTTCACTAAGATAATTAATTATTTTGTATATAGTATATATAATTTATACAATACATTTTGTATATTTTAAGTAACAACTGAAGAAAAAAACTTTTTCTTCATCATTGAAATCCCTTTCATTATTCAAGAATTGACACTAATAGATTAACTATCGTCCTGAAAACTTTGTCATTTAGTCTTTTTCAGTTCATATCAATCATGTTTAACCAAGAGACCGTCGATTTATTTGTATAATAACCTACTAATTCACTTTCTCCTATCGACGGACTATGACGGAGACCGGAGCAGTCGAAAACCGGAGACCGCCGATAAGTAGGCCCCATATTGCACAACAGTTTCATGATTGTCATATCATTATAATGTGCATTTTATATAACCAATAAATATATGGCTTCAATTTAGTTGTGTTTAGCCTATTACGTTTTCGTTTCAATCGAAAAATTTCGGCTCTTTCCGTCGTACTCCGTCTAGTTAGCCAAGTCTTAAAATAAGTTATCACGTGATCAGTGACGTCATGCCAATACACACAAATGGCAGGACACAGCTGGGCGATAATGCCCAGTGTTTTAATTGTGGAAATACTTTCGTATCTTTCGTTGAAAGACAGGTTAAATGCTTCTGTTGTCTGTAAAAGATGGAGATCTTATTTGTTCCAAGCTAAACTGTGGCCAAAACTTTCGGTTTGCCTGCGTAGAAACCGTAGACAAAAGAACAAATTTTTGGCAAACGTTTGTGGAAGGTTTGTTCGTGAATGCGCAATAAACTTCGACCCTCTCGATGGCGAGGAATTGAAAGATTGTTATAGAACACTTCAAATACTTTGTGATAATAAAAACCTTCAAGTACTTCAGTTGCAGCCACTGAGTTGTCATACGGAATGGACAGAAACCGTGACCTGTAGCAGGTAAATATTTTTGTTCCAAATTTAGGCCAATCAGCTGTATTCTAAAAATAGTAACAAAATGTAAACATAAACATAGTCATGTGACAACTGTCAAAATATGTGTATCAGCATAGATGTTATCTATGTGAAGGTTAATTGATAAATAAATGAAAATTTTAGCTAAGGTTTATCTTTTTTAAATGTAATGTCAATTGATTCTTTTATCAAATGCTAGCATGATGTAAGAATAAGTCCAATAACATAATTTGAATACATTATTTACTAAATCAAATAATATCATAATTTATCATAACTGATCATATTATTACTAAAGCTCTATATAAAAAGTAGTTTTGCTGTACCAGACTTCAAAATTGTGGTCATTGCTTTGGTTTTATACTTTGAAATACTATTGTTTTGTGTTTAAAACTAATTACTATAAAGCTTTCTATATATTTCAGATTTGTGCAAAAGCTAGAATGCATAATAAGAACCAGTAGAAAATTGAAACATGTGTCATTAGGCTGCTCAGAGGAGATGCTAGCACATTCAGACTTTTTCTTGGAAAGGTTATCAAGTCTTCACAGTAATTCCCTGGAAGCTCTTCACTTGGCGAGTGTCAAGGAAGATTCTGATAATTACGGCATTGTTGACCTAGACATCTACAAATTTCGCAATTTCACAAATCTTAGACATATGAGCATAGACTATGACTTTCTGGATAATCAGTTACTTCACATATTCTGTGAGTTAAGTAGAGCACCTCTTGAATCATTGAACATCCATGTGCACGGTGTTGGTCCTGAACATGAAAGTGTCACAAATGCATCGTGGAGACAATTTTCCAGTCACAATAAAAATATTGAAGTTACAATCAACTTGATGCATTCCTACACTGGTGTGGCAAAGTTGCTGGATATTTTAAAGCAGAATCTTCCTCTGACACACTTTAGACAGTTCTTTTGCTCAAATATAAATGTTCCTGCATTGGGATTGATGGCCAACTGTTACTGGAACACTCTCAAATCTATACACATAATTGATGGGTTTGATCATGGTGTGCCAGCAGTGTACCAAGTGACGACAGATGAAGATCCCTTTGTCATGATGGCATGGAAATGTTCAAATCTCTCCCATTTTACACTCATTGGTAACCTAAGTTTCTTTGTTGTTATTTAAGTTATAATTAGTTGAGGTTATGATGAAGTACATGTAAGTGTTGATTAATTTAATGACAGAGTAAAATAGGCGAAGTTGTTAGCATGTACTACCTGAGCCGCTAGGTGATTAAGTGCATGGCCATTTAAACCTCAATGTATAACTTACTATATGACAAATTTACTACACTAGTGCTTTCTTTCAATTTAAATTGAAAATGATTGATTTCAGCTGTGTATATACAGATCATGTAAACATCAGAAGTGTCGTTACACAATATTACAAATAATACACGATTGTCTAATACAATTTCCTATAATATGACTTCCAATGTGGAAAATTTTGCAGTCTCTATGTCTTCCAAACTTTGGAATGTAATGGACGGTTACACGACTTACCGGAATCAGCCGAATTACCGGAATCGACCGGAATCGGCGGTGAATTACCGGAATCGACCTGTAACTTTGTAATAAGTAAACTTTTTAAGTTTTTACTTAACCCCGTAATGGAAGCTCTGAATTTTGTTTGGTTAAAACACATTCTTTTAAGCTGGATTGCGAAACAAGTTCTTGCAACTTAAATGAATCACTGTTGAGTTTGCTTCCTGGAACCAACCAGTACTGTCATTTGAAGAAACATGTTTGTGACCCAATTAGCTAGGGCTCAAACCTTTGATCTCTGGGTTGAGAGGCAGACACCTTAATCACTAGGTCACTGCTTTCCTTGAATCTGTTTTGACTGTCTTTTGTAATAAAATAATAGATACTTCAGTTCTTTTCTTGAATTATGTACAGGTCTCTCGAGTGTTGTTATGTTTATAATCCAGTTTTGTTATATTTCTTGTCGAGTGTCGTTACATTTCTAAGTAAAAATTGTGTCATTATGCAATTTTGTATCATTATAGCATACATGTACATGTATTATATTGATCAATTATGTATTTTATTTCCTATCAGGGTACGAGATGTCCGAGCATGACATGGTGGCCATAGCACGTTTGAGAGGAGAACATCTCAAAGAGTTTCACATTCCAGCATCCTGCATACGTTGGTTAGATGAAGACAATGTAGAAGTTGTTGGAAATGTGGAGCCGGAATTCACAGAAATGGTATCAATATCATATCTCATTTAAATTGTTAAGTTAACAATGTCAGTCATTTCAAAGAGAAACAAGCGGCGGGAGAGGGCTTCAATCATGTGGCTTGGAACTAAGAATCCTATATCAATTGGCACTTTATAATAAACTTGAATTGAACAAGTTTTAGAAAAGTACAAGTATAAGTAAAGCAAGCATAATGAGAGCTTTATAGTTTATCAATATTGAGTTTAATGTAAGTAAGGAAAAGACAACAAATGCAATATTTTATCTATCACATGATACTGTAAAGCCTCAAAAACCAGACATTCGGTAGAAGTCACTATTTTATATGCCAAATTTATTTTGAAATACGTGTAATGTAGTTTTTTATATAATATTATGAGGTTATTGTACATTATTGAGTACAATACTGAATTCATTTAGTTGAGTACACAGCTGACAAAGCTATATTGGTTGAGGCATAAGCTGACTCTGATACAGGTTTGACAGGTGTGTAAGAGTCCAATAGAATCAGTATTGTCCTTAACCAGGTATAATGTAACCTCTTCATTTCACAGCAATTTTTTAAATTTTTGACGGAACTTTCTTACTTTAGGTACAATAAGAATTTTAAAATGAATATTTGGACTTAGAAAATGAGAACTGTGGGTTCAGATTTCATCAGATCATTTATATAGAAGGCGCTGGCTAGTGTTTGGTCTTTTGCATTTTTTGTGTCGCCTGGTACAGAGTGGCAGCAATATACATGTACATATGTATAGGGATCACTTCTCCATCGCCTGTCCATCTGTCTGTCATAAAACTTCTCCAGACTACCCCTCAAAAGCTACTGGTGCAATTAAAAGGGATTAGCCTATGTCACCAGTGTAGAGTCAAGCTAGGGTGTTCTTATGCTCAGTTTGGCTGACAAACTGTAGATTTTCATCTTGATAACCCAAAAGTTGATAATGAACAATTTAAAAAAGGGAAGCTAGCGAGTCCATTCAAGAAATTCCACAAGCTAAGCAGGTATTGATTATTTATGAAATTTAGAATAGAAATATATCAATACTTTTGTATAGTTTCAAACACTGCACATGACTGACAATAAAGTTCTGGATTAACTATATCTGATACATGTATGTGGTAAATATTGTAGATCTCATCAAGTTTAGGGAGGACATGGAAGCCTGTGGAAGATGATCAATTACCTGACGCTGTATTTGACGACTGGGCTGATGCAGAACTTGCCTATAATCATATCTTACTGAAGGACCAACAGTTCAGAAAACATACAAAGGTAACTTATTTTTAGCTTGAATATTTGAACAATATGGAAAGCTATTCTTGTTGCACACGTTGGTTAAGTTTTTGCTTGCGAGTTGGTATCTCCAAAACTTTTAAAGGGAATTAATTGAAATTTCAAACAATACACCCATTTTCAGTCTCTTTATGAACTACGTAAATAACAGAGGTATATCAGACTGAAAAAATAGGAGTCGTTTCCCTTATCTTCGAGTAAAATCGGTATCTCTAATGCTAAAACAATACAAATTTAGCAGTTTTTAAACTGCTGGTTTTTTTACACCAAAAAAGCTTGTGATGGTAGCTTCATCTCTGTATATACTTCAACACATCGTTTGACAGTAAAGGTATTTAAATTGACTGTTAAATCTACCACAAGTCAGACCATTTTACATACTATTTATACGGTGAGATACGTAACCTGTTATCTTTACTCGCAAAACTACTGATAAGAATTGCCTGTCGTCTGCTAGTTCGGAAACTGTCAATGGGTGTATTGTTTTCTTTGATTATCTTACATGATGAAACAGGCCCCATAATTTTGAGGGAACTTTTTACAGAGTTATACCCCTTTTGTTACTGTCAAGCACTTGAGCTATGGACAGTTCAGGTTTACTGTTCAAATTTGAAAAAGCAGAGCTGGAACAATAATGGTTGGTTCTTCATCTACAGTATAATTAATAGGGCATGGGTATATTGTAACATCAAACATCGAGATATATAAAATGTTCTGCTGATTTGGTGCATCAAAGAAATTTTATTTTGTAATGTTTACTTTAAGTATTTAGAAACTTACAGTTTTACTAAGGATTATAGTGCAATCTGTTCCAGTGTTAATAGACCAATTACCATATAATATTGAATCTCGGTTAATGGGGTTATTTTTCAACAGATGTTTTCTTCTCCAAGAGTTTTTTTAGCTCACCTGTCACAAAGTGACAGGTTAGCTTTTGTGATCGCTTTTCGTCCGGCGTCCGTCCGTCCGTAGTCCGTCCGTCCGTAAACTTTTGCCTTAAAAGACATCTCCTCATAAACCACTGAGCCAATTTCATCCAAACTTCACAGGAATGTTCCTTTGGTGGTCACCTTTAAAAATTGTTCAAAGAATTTAATTTCATGCATAACTCTGGTTGCCATGGCAACCGAAAGAAAAATCTTTAAATATCTTCTTTTAAACAACCCTAAGAGTTAGAGCTTAGATATTTGGCATGAAACATCTTCTAATGAGTGTCTACCAAGTTTGTTCCAATAAAAGCCCTGGGGTCAAAATTGGCCCCGCCCCGGGGGGGTCATTGATTTTCCCTATATGCATATAGTAAAAACTTAAAAAATCTTCTTTTTAAAGAACTGTAAGAGCTAGAGCTAAGATATTTGGCATGGAACATCTTCTAGTGAATGTCTACCAAGTTTGTTCAAATAAAAGCCCTGGGGTCAAAATTGGCCCCGCCCCGGGGGTCATTGATTTTCCCTATATGCATATAGTAAAAACTTAAAAAATCTTCTTTTAAAGAACTGTAAGAGCTAGAGCTTAGATATTTGGCATGAAACATCTTCTGGTGAATGTCTTACCAAGTTTGTTCAAATAAAAGCCCTGGGGTCAAAATTGGCCCCGCCCCAGGGGGTCATTGATTTTCCCTATATGCATAAAGTAAAAAATTAAAAAATCTTCTTTTAAAGAACCCAAAGAGCTAGAGCTTAGATATTTGGCATGAAACATCTTCTGGTGAATGTCTACCAAGTTTGTTCAAATAAAAGCCCTGGGGTAAAAATTGGCCCCGCCCCAGGGGGTCATTGATATTCCTTATATGCATATAGTAAAAACTAATAAAATCTTCTTTTAAAGAACCCAAATAGCTAGAATTTAGATATTTAGCATGAGACATGTTCTAATGGGTGTCTACCAAGTTTGTTCAAATAAAAGCTCTGGGGTCAAAACTGGCCCCGCCCCGGGGGTCATTTGATTTTCCTTATATACATAGCAAAAAACTTAAAAAATCTTCTTGAAAAAAACCCAAATAACTAGAGTTTAGATATAAAGCATGAAACATCTTTAAGTAAATATCTACAAAGTTTGTTCAAAATAAAAGCCCAGGGGTTCAGAACTGGCCCTGCCCGAGGGGTGTCATTGTTTTTAACTATATGTGTATTAGTAAAAACTTAAAAAATCTTCTTTTAAAAAACCCCAATGAGCTAGAACTTAGATGTTTTGCATGAAACAACTTCCTATGGGTGTCTACTAAGTCTGTTCAAATAAACAAATAAAAGCCCTTGGGAAAAAAATTGGGCCGGGGGGGCTATATACAGGTGAGCGACCTCAGGGCCATCATGGCCCTCTTGTTTATCAGATATACTTCAAAATTGAAGTACATGTAAGATGGTCATGGGCCCAGTAAGGGCATGGCTGAAACCAATACTGAGGGTGGAGACAGACACCCGGCCTCTACCTCCCACAAGAAAATAACTTTAAAAAAAACAAGAACGAAAAGCAAAGTTTGAATGCTTAGCTGATGAAACTTACGAAAGAAATACCTTTCAGCTACTTTTTCACATGGGTGCATCATCAACAAAATTTGTCTTTTAGCTTTTAAAAGATGGTTGTCATATATCAAGTTTGCTTGAATAGTTTTGTTTTTTCGACATTGCATTACAATATAATGAAATGCCTTATTTTTGTTTATTGCAGTGTTCGTCTGGAGCAATTACATCTAAATAGGCACATACATGTGATAATAAAAACATATTGTTAAATCTGTTGTGATAAAAACATTAGTGCTGATTAGTGCTGGAGTTGAAATTCATCATGAAAAACATTTCTCCACACGAAGATAATTATTCTAGTCGAACTTGGCGAAGACTTGGTCAAACAATAGAATACTACAGCGTGCTTTCATCATCTGATTATTGTAGACTAACAACTCGAAGTTTACCATTCTAATAATGCTTTAGTAAAATTGTTAAAGTTCTTATTTTGTAATAACATTTTGAAATTTTAATAAGGATATTGCCATATTTGTTGGTGAAGAGAATATCGAGAGATACGTTTGTATAGTTTGTTGGTGATAATGTTGAAATGAAAGGAATTTGTATATCTTGTATGAAAACAGAATGAGTGGATAAATGTATGTAATGCAGTGAATGTTTTTATGTCTGTATAGTTTGCATGGTTTGTGAGTATAGAATATGATAACCTATGTATGTAGGAGAGAGAGTAATAATGTCACTCTGTATTCTTTTGGGAGAGAGTGAATTTATTTATGTCTGCACAGTTTTTGGGAGGAAATGTTTTTATGGCTTTTTGTCTTTATAGCTTCTGAGAGTAGAGAATGTAAGTATTTTTGTCTTTACAGCTTTTGGGAGTAAGGAATGCAAGTATTTTTGTCTTTATAGCTTCTGGGAGAAGGGAATGCAAGTATTTTTGTCTATACAGCTTTTGGGAGTAAGGAATGCAAGTATTTTTGTCTTTATAGCTTTTGGGAGTAGGGAATGCAAGTATTTTTGTCTATACAGCTTTTGGGAGTAAGGAATGCAGGTATTTTTGTCTTTATAGCTTTTGGGAGTAAGGAATGCAAGTATTTTTGTCTTTATAGCTTTTGGGAGTAAGGAATGCAAGTATTTTTGTCTTTATAGCTTTTGGGAGTAAGGAATGCAAGTATTTTTGTCTTTATAGCTTTTGGGAGTAGGAAATGCAAGTATTTTTGGCCATACAGCTTTTGGGAGTAAGGAATCCAGGTATTTTAGCTTTATAGCTTTTGGAAGTAAGGAATACAAGTATTTTTGTCTTTATAGCATTTGGGAGTAAGGAATGCAACTATTTTTGTGTCTTTATAGCTTTTGGGAGTAAGGAATGCAAGTATTTTTGTCTTTATAGCTTTTGGGAGTAAGGAATGCAACTATTTTTGTGTCTTTATAGCTTTTGGGAGTAAGGAATGCAAGTATTTTTGTCTTTATAGCTTTTGGGTGTAAGGAATGCAACTATTTTTGTGTCTTTATAGATTTTGGGAGTAAAGAATGCAAGTATTTTTGTCTTTATAGCTTCTGGCAATAAGGAAGGAGAGTATTTTTTGTCTATAGCTTCTCGAAGTAAGGAATGCAAGTATTTTTGCTTTTTTAGCTTCTGGGGAAAGAGAATGGGAGTTTTTTAAAAATCTTTGTAGCTTCTAGGAGTAAAGATTGAGAGTAGTTTTGTCTTTGTATCAAAGGGAATGTGAGTATTCATGCTTGTATATTATATTGGAGTAAGGAATAAGTCTGTTTAAATGTCTTTATAGCTGGAGAATATGATATGTTATGGGAGTAGGGAATGTTAGTTTTTATGCCTGTAGAGCCTATTTAAGAGTATATATGTCTGTATATTTTCTGTAAGTATTTTGTCTTGTATTTTATGTGAGTAGGGATTAAGAGTATTTCGAAAACTTGTGCAAATTAAACTGGGAGTAAGGAATGCGAGTGTTTTTGTCTCTACTTTATGAAAGTCATGATCATTATAGATTGAGAGTTATTTTATCATAAGTATTTTCTATGTTCAGGAATGAAAGGAATTCTTATATGAATGTTAAATTATATTTATGGTTGTTTACAATAAGGGATACACAGATATATGTGTTTTAACTGTTTATAGAATGTTTGTATCTGTAATGGGAGACTAAAATGTCTAGCATATAATCCATGTTTTTATGACTTGATATATAACTATTATTATAATTTGACAAGTTCCACATACTACTGCCTCAATTATTTATATATTTTGTGTAACATAAAAACATACAATTTTCTATAAGTGACATATCATTTAATATATGATATGTATAATTATGTTCCGAGGTTTTAATGTCAACTGAATGTAAACAATTTTGAATGGTCATCTCACAAGTTGGAAATGTATGTACCTTACAATTTGGGTATTTATTTGTGCTCTATATCTGTATCTGTAATTACATTTCATTTTTAAAGGGTATAAAGCTATATACATGTATAATTAAATACTTAAAAAAATTATGAACAGTAAATTATGTTGTTTCAAAAATTTTATGTTCCATTCACAAAAGAGTTGTAATATTAAATTGATCTATTATTTATCACACATAAAAATGGTATGTAAACGGAATATGTTCCAGAACAAAATATTAAGCTGCTGTTTAAAGTAAGATTGTAATGGTTTGACAATGAATTTGTTCAGGAACGGATTTGAGAGTGTTTCAATAAGCTTATAGCTTCCAACATTATCTGTCTAAAATTAATTGATATAAACTAATCTGTGCATGCACAGTTCGCATACAGGCGTTTCGGAATTATTCTTTTTTCAAAATTCGAACAATATTTTTTTGTTAACTACAGGCAGTAGATATATAGCTTTATACACTGTAAGGCCACGACACGCAAGTGTCATCTTTAGCTACTAGATAAATCATTATGTAACGTGTATGATGAAACTATCTTTCTCGGTTGTTGTCATCGGCCACGAGCACTGTGTAATGCTGTGATACGAGTTTCTATTTTTGTCCCATCTATTTATATTATTAAAGTTGTCGAGGCATTAATTACATTGTGACATGAAACACGAGTTATTTGTTTAAAATCATCGCCTCAGTATATTATAAGTTATATAGATTTCTTTTGAAAGTATATATGGCTAAAAGGTTATATGGCACAGTATAAACAGTTATAAGTTATAATTATAACCTGAGGGTGCTAGTCAAGGATTATATTACAAGTCACCATTCATACAAGGTCATATAACTGCTTACTTACTAAAAATTTATAATAAAAATTAATTGACAAATTTGCAGCAGGCCTGTATATGTATATAAGAAATATAAACTTCATGATTGTCTTATGATAATCATTTTAAAAAACACGCAATATTATTATTCACTGTCAAGATTCCTTACCTAGTTTTCTATTTTAACAAATAATATATCACACAAGTTTCAACTGAAGCAATTTAGATCTAAATTTGATTTATTTAACGTCAATGAATATTTTTATATAAGTCGATAATATGTGCGATTCTTAGCCCAATTTGAGTTAAAGATGTGAAAATACTTTTTATTTTTCGGTCATTTTACGTAGTGAAAATTATTATTCTTGTAAAAAAAAACATAGGGAATGGTCTTAAATTATGCACACAAGTTATTGATTTAGAGCTGCAACATATGTAAATATCTATGATAAATATCTCTAGTCCCTTCATGTCAAAAAACCTCAGTCGGGTCCCTTTAAAACAGTCAGATTTTTACATTCATATATGTATGGTGTATGTAATTATTTACATGTATTACTTTTCTATGGACTTTCAAGAAATCTGTTTTGACAGAAACCATGTGAAATAGCCTTTGTACATGTTTGTATTTGATTGTTATATTTTTCCCTGTAATTTTTATGCCACCGCATCATCTGCGATGCGGTGGCATATAGCGATTCACCTGTGTGTATGTGTGTGTGTTTGTGTGTGTGTTATATAGATTATATAGTGAACTTAAAAAATCTTCTTGTGAAAAACCACTAGTCCAATTTCAACCAAACTTGGCAGGATTGTTCCTTGGGTAAAGGGCTTCCAAAGTTGTTCAAAGAATTTCATTCCATGCAGAAATCTGGTTGCCATGGCAACCAAAAGGAATTATAAGAATAAATTAAAAAAATCTTCTTGTAAAGACCCAAAAGGCCTAGAGCTTAGATATTTTGCATTGTCTGGTAGACCTCTAACAAGATTGTTCAAATTATAGCCCTGGAGTCAAAATTGGCCCCGCCCCGGGGTCATTGATTTTCACTATGTACATATAGTAAAAACTTAAAATACCTTCTTGTAAAAACCTTAAGGCCTAGAGCTTCGATATTTTGCATAAGGCATCATCTGGTAGATCCTTACCAAGATTGTTCAAATTATAGCCCTTGGGTCAAAATCGGCCCGCCCCGGGGTCATTGATTTTCGCTTTATGTACATATAGTAAAAACTTAAAACACCTTTTAAAGACCCGTCCCATGGGTAATTGGTTTTCCTTATATATATATAGAGTAAAAACTTAAAAAAAATTCTTCTAGCAATTGACAAATGCTAAAGGTTAGATATTTTGCATGAAACATTGTGTTGTAAAACTCTAGCAAGAGTGTTCAAATTATAGCCCTGGGGTCAAAATTGTCCCCGCCCTGGGGGTCATTGATTTCAATATATACATATAGTAAAAAATAAAAAAATCTTATTGTCTGAAGGTACAAGGCTTAGAGCTTTAATATTTGTTAAATAATATCATCTAAAGGTACTCTACCAAAGTTGTTCAAATTTTGCCTCTTGTGTCAAAATTAGCCCCGCCCCTCAGGGAGCCATAGGTTTATCCTATATGTATATAGTTAAAACTTAAAAAATCTTCTTCTCTAAATTTACAAAGGATAAAGTTAAGATATTTTGCATGAAACATTGTGAAGTGAACCTCTAGCAAGATTGTTCAAATAATCGCCCTGGGGTCAAAATTGGTTCCGCCCCGGGGGTCATTGATTTTCATTATGTACATATAGTGAAAAGAAAAATTTTGTCTGAAGGTTCAAGGCATAGAGCTTTGATGTTTGATATATAATATCATCTATAGGTCCTCTACCAAAGTTGTTCAAATGTCAATAATTGGCCCTGCCCGGGGGCAGTGATTCTCATTATGTACACGTAGTAAAAACAGAAAATAAAACAAATGTTTTCTGAATGGAAGAAAGCTATAGCTTAGATATTTGACTTGAAATGTTGTTTGGTGGACCTGTATCAAGATTGTTATTAAACCCTTGGGTCAAAATTATGCCTTGCCCAAGGGGACAGTGACCTACTTTCTTGTCCAGCAATGACATTTTGACCATGTGCACAGTTTTAGTTGTAAAATTGAACTTTGACCTAGAATTTGATGATGTGACCTACTTTCTTGTCCTTTGATGTACAGCTATGAAATTTGAACCATGCGGTGGCATAGCATTTTTCTCAAATGCAATCTTGTTTTCACTTGCGTTTTAAATTGTCTGGAATATAATGTGTAAGTGTGTCAGAATTTAATTGCTTAAGTTTGTTTAAAAAAATTGATAAATTTTTTTTTGCATAAATTTATACATTCCAGCAAATTTACAGGTATATTTTCTTGATCATAGATGTTTTAAAATTTGAAAATGAACAAAATTTTCTAAATGTTTCCTTCATTTTGTATAATACACTTTAAAGCAGTATTCCTCCAGATTCATGCTAATTTTTATAAGATCGGTATTTTAAAGGAAAATATTGTAAAGTGAACAAACAGCATTTACAATTCATGTAAATTACTAAAATGAGGTCAAAATATCATAATGCAAAATAGTCATTACTACACTAGTCACACAGAAGAAACATGGTAATAAATACTGCAAAATCAGTCATTCATCACACATAACATGTAAATTATTACTTTAATCTTGAATCTTTTTACTTTCCTTGATATCTTAGTAACATTTTTCTCAAGTTTGATTTCCTTGATATCTTTTGACTCATTTAGAGGCATACAGCTTTAACCCACATGTTGGCAATTATCAACATTGTAATTTTTGATTATGTTAGTGTTATAACGGTTTAATTTCATGTACCACTTGGTTGAATTGTTATATTTGAGCTGCAAAAAAGGAAATCTTTATCAATTTTTGTGGTCGTATAATTGAAAATCGAATTTTGTGTTTTTGTGGAATCATTTTCTTCCACGCTAAGTAAAGTAGTACTTCCATCATAGCACACTGGTGATTAGTTGGGACACATGGCAATATTTAGTACATCATGGAAACATTTTTAATATTACAAGAAACACGTGACACTTGATATTAAAATAATGACCTCATAATAAGATATTTCTCAGACATCATTTAAAACTGGACTAAAACCTAAATTGTACAATTCATCACTTATTTTAAGATTGTTAGGTACAATTCGTATTGTAAGTTTTGCATACAATGGGTTTATCTTCATCCCAAGAACAGTATCAGTGAATGTCATAGTATATATTATACATTTATTGTCTGCACATTTTATCTGTTAATCAAAACCTAAGTTACATCCTTTTATAATATTAAATGATTTTTCAATGATTTTCTTCTCTTTTTTTTGGATGAGAATTGTTATCTTAACAAAACACTGATTATCTTCGAAATATGGATAGAAAAAATGAAAGGTTAAAAAAATACTTAGTCAATAAAGATAAAGATTGATTAAAACTTTATTATTTTTTATTTAAATTTTTTATTAAAATTTCAATGAATATTGCCATAAAATCATTGAATTAAAACATGAACAGACTTAGAAACATACTGTATTAAAACAATTGACTTAGAAACATACTGTATTAAAGGATTTGACTTAGAAACATATACTGTATAAAAACATTTGACTTAGAAACATACTGTATTAAAATTTTTGACTTAGAAACCTACTGTATTGAAACATTTGACTTAGAAACATACTGTATTTAAGGATTTGACTTAGAAACATACTGTATTAAAACATTTGACTTAGAAACATACTGTATTAAAACATTTGAGTTAGAAACATACTGTATTTAAGGATTTGACTTAGAAACATACTGTATTAAAGGATTTGACTTAGAAACCTACTGTACTTAGAAACATACTGTATTAAAATTTTTGACTTAGAAACATACTGTATTGAAACATTTGACTTAGAAACATACTGTATTAAAGGATTTGACTTAGAAAGATACTGTATTAAAACATTTGACTTAGAAACATACTATATTAAAACATTTGACTTAAAAACATACTGTATTGAAACATTTGACTTAGAAACATATGGTATTAATGCATTTGACTTAGAAATATATTGTATTAAAACATTTGACTTAGAAACCTACTGTATTAAAACATTTGACTTAGAAACATACTGTATTAAAGGATTTGACTTAGAAACATACTGTATTAAAACATTTGACTTAGAAACATATGGTTTTTATGCATTTGACTTAGAAACATACTGTATTGAAACATTTGACTTAGAAACATACTGTAATATTTGACTTAGAAGGATTTGATTTAAAAACATACTGTATTAAAACATTCGACTTAGAAACATACTACATGTATATTAAAATAGTTGACTTAGAAACATATGGTATTAATGCATTTGACTTAGGAACATACTGTATTAATGCATTTGACTTAGAAACATACCAAATTAAAACATAACTAATTTAGACTGCCAATTTGTTTCTCATCATGTCTGATATTGATTTTGTTGTTGTACTGAATAAAATATATGGTAAATAAAAGTTTTAATGCTCAGATACAGACTACAGAATACATCTGATTAAGTAAAGTATTGATTACGACAGAAATGTCTTTGTTGTCATCTGTAATAAAAATAAATATCCGTATATACAATACTCCACATTTTCTGTCTCAGTGAGTAGTTTTGTAAATATTTTATTTTAAGGAAAGATATCAAAACATGATCTGGACAGAAATAATAATAACATATGCAATGAAATTTTTTTTTATTGGAAGTCATTCGGTTGTGAAAGATCTTGTGTAGAACTGTATGTAAAACATATCCTGTTAGAAAATTTTATGAATGACTTGCAGAATTCAAGGTTTTAAGTAATTTATTTCAGTTGAGTAACATTTAGAAAGAACGACTAAATTTATTAAGATATAGTCAATTGAATTTTTCTTTTTTTTTGGAAATGAGAAAGATTTTTTTTTAAAATTTATAACCAGGTTTACAATTTTGAAAATCCTGCTTATTAAGATCTAAAAAAAATTATTAGTTAAAATTTTAGAGTATACAATTGTTGGTAGTTAAACTTGTTTATATTACATCACAATTTATTGAAAGAAAAGATCACTTTGTTAGATCTAGAACCCGTGTTTTGAAAATATTTTTAAGATCTTCAATGTTTTATTATTATATATTATTATGTAAAGATCTGGTAAAATATGAGTGTTAACATTTTGTTAATGTACAAATACGGGTAAATGTAATTACATCTACATTAACTGTTAAATTAAGAACTTTTTTTGTTATTGCTTTATACCAAGCAAACATGTTTGTACCAAAATAATCTAATGTTAAAGTTTTATCTCGAATTGTTTTTTAAAAATGGAAATAAAGATTAAATACAGAGCTTTTCTGCTCCTTTTATAACTGTGTTGTGTTTATGAATTTTATCTTGATGAAAAACCTATAAATTGGTCCCTGTCGAGTTGTTTTTATTATCACTATCACCGTGCAACAGCTTTAATGTAGTCTTTTACTCAAACACTTTTAATTTAAGGCATCAACAGAACATTATATAATACTGGCATATAAATAGGTTCATTTGTAAGCAAGGGGAATTATTCTGAAAGTTTTATATTTTCGGAGTTGTGCCCCTTTACAAAATATCAACTGTATCAACATGAAACTTGGAATGCTTGCTTATCATGACATGGCATATTCTGTAGGACAAGGGATGGAACTCTGTAATCAGTATTTGTCATTAATAGATGAGTGCTGGTATTGTATGCTCTGTAATTGATTTTAGTTAGGTTTTAAGTTGCACCAACACCATTATAAACTGTCATTTGTCCACTTTACCGCTTTCCTAGTGGAGATAGATCTCAGATAACCCTCTATGTGTTATTTCAAGCATAAAAGTAGAACCATGACCTTCCCTGAGCTAGCTTGATAGCTTTCCGACATGAAAACAAATCATGGCAAGATATGAACCCGAGTGGCGAGAGGCCAGTGGTTTGGTGTTCGTGACCATAACCGCTTGGCCATGGTGTTTATGATTCAGATTATATGATTGAAAGCAGCAAATGATAGTATAAATTAGTATTTTCTTCTCAGTTATTAGATGGACTTAAAAATTAACCAAGTTCATAAAGTTAAGGGATTATAAGATTAAATTTGCTGGTTAATATGTTAGCAATCAGTGTAAAATGTAGTCAGATAAATTGCCATCTAATTTTTCAAGACAATGAGTGTTGGGTTCATTGGTCCAGTGGTAGGATTTGTGGGTACAAGGTTTCAAGTATCACCATAATGAGACAATGTTCTTTGAGCAACATTGGTTTCCATTCATCCAAATTTGTTCGTTTTCTAAGCTGATGTTTTTATAACACACTTTTGGTTGTATTTCTAAAGTCAGTCCACCTAACTGGCTTTCTTGGGTATAACTATCCACTAATTACTAATTTCTCCACAAGTAGTGTATTACATATCACATTATTATGATTTCTGAATCAGCAGCAAGAGACAAATAACCAGTAGAATCAATGTCCGATATGAAATATCACCGAGAAATTTCATCTCTCCGGAGGAACAAACCAGTGACCCAAGGCTAAGCTAAGTCTGAGTGAACTCATCCAGAAGTAAACGAGTATCGGCGAGAGCAGTTTGAATTCTCTGGGTACATGTTTGCTGCCATAAGCAATTGACTGACTTATGTAGCAGTAATTTGAGTGAAATTATTTAAAGCTTTTGTTGTTAAAGAATTTGGTTTGAATGTAATACATGTGTTTAATTCATCAAGAATACCAGTTACATCAGCTTTTTCATTATACTTTTAACAGTTTTCTTTCTTTGGGTTAAAGTAACGGACATGGACACATTACTGGTCATACCACTTTTTTTTTACCGTAATTCCTGCATAGTAATTCTTAGATCATTGAGACACTGTTAAAGTTATATGGCGACTTAAAACTTTACTGGTAGAGGAAGACTCAACTGTTTCGTTTGTTTGGGTTTTACATAGACATTGACACATTATTGATCATAACGCTTTTTAAACTGCAATTCCTGCCTCAAATTCATACATAGTTATTTCATGAACACTGTCATTTGGCGACTTTACAGCTTTACTGGTAGAGGAACACTCAAGGTGTTCTTCCTTGCATTATTCCATGCACATATAAGCACCCAAGTAGTAGAAACAACCTTCCATACGCTAGGTGGATAGCAACTGTCTTATATCAAAGGCTCCAATGTCCAGGTCATGGTTCGAAACCACAGCAGAGATGGGAAAAAGATGGGATAAATCCCCATTTCATATTAAAATCAAACAAGACTCAATTTGGCTTTTTTCGATTTTTTTTATTCTGGCAATGACAAAAACAATGATGCAAAAAAAAAAGTTCAAATATATATATCATAAACATTGCATTATTAAGCAAAATGTATTTGTAGCAAAGTTTTAAACCCATACAAATTTTAGTTTTACAATAAATCCTTCAATCAAAAATTTATTTCCAGTTTTCATTTCAAATTGATAAATATTTCTGAATATCATTATGAAAGCATATCTCAAAACTTGGGTTAAGCCGGGTCACAAAAAGCTATACATATTTCCTAGGATATACAAAGCCAGCACATAACAATTGCTGGCACAACACTATCAATTATATATTTAAATGTATTTATTAATCATGTCACATGATCTTGCCAAAAAAGCAACGAAATTTCAACATCAAAAGCGACATCTATGAAAAAAGCATCTTAAATTTTCTACTGAGCAGAATTGTGTGTTGCCACTTATATAAAAGGTAGAAAACATTGTAGAATACATATCAATGAGAAAAAAAAAATACATGAAACTTAAATTAATTTATAAATACTGTGACTAAATTAAATAATGCTAAAAATATTGACTAGACTTTCTTGGAATTTAACAAAAAAAGTTCAAAACTTTTGAACTTGGGAACAAGGTTATGGTGTTCTGTATTTGAAATACAAAAAAGTTTCTGTTTGTCAAAAATGAAAATGCGGATTCGTAGAATGTTTTAAGACAACAAAATCGATATTTAGAGAATAAATTTACATTTTTTTCCCGAAAACAGCACATCATACATCTTTTATGTCTGTCAATAAAGTTTGAAAAAAGAGCTACTTTGGTATCTTACATTGGTGAACTTTAACGATAAAAACGTAACACTTAGTTGGTGGGAAAAAGGGTCTAGAAAAAAATAAAAATCCAAAACTGTACATACCACTTATAGAAAGAACATTATATAAGAAGAAGTAAATATTCTATGAAACATGTGTTATTCAATGGGTAAAAAAACAAACAAAAAACAAGAACAAAATTATTCATGTAGAAAGAAAAATAGACCTATTATTTGTAATAAAAAAGTTACCTAAGTAAGATAATAACAATAAACAAAGCGTAAATAGTAAATTTGTGAACAGAGGGGTAGCTAGTAATGAGCTTTGTGGCTATACATTGTTTCCTTATTGCACATGATTTCCTACAGTTCTATACACTTAACACCCGGCCTTATTCACCACTAAATGTTACCTCATTTTTTAAATAATGACTTCTGTTATCTCAATTTAAAAATAATAAATTTTTCTAGAATTATCTCTCATTTTCAAAATGGTTATCTCATTTTCAAAATGATGACTTTACAATCGAACCAATTTTTTCTTAATCGCCACAATATCTTTTTTATGACACATTTACATGAATAAGGTCGAGTGTTATACATGAATACATTGCACTTATCAAGCCAAGCACTTTTGTTCCATTGGCCATCAGTTTATCTTACAATTGCACACTATTACAATTTTTCATGAATAGTAATATAGGCAACATCAATAGATGCTCCCTGATGTAGCATGCCTTGTGTTAAAAACATGGCCTTCACTACTAGAAAATGTAGTAAAATCTATTTTCAACTGCCATGGCTTTGACTCAATCAACCTGAAACCTCGGTCAAGGGTTAGACACCCATGTGAGGTATCTATCGTTAAACCAAATACCTAACTTAAAGGTATATGTCAATAAATGAACGTGCCATGAATAAATGAAGAGCTTATCTGCAAATATGAGCTCCGTCGAATCATTTCACGTAGCATAAAAAGTTATGTGAATCGGATGGTTTGAGTAGTAAAGCGAATTGTGTCAATAATATGTATCTTACAAAAGCTTTAAAAGCGAATTCTATGAGCACTTTGTATATTTGTGTACAAAACAAAAACTCTCCAACATGTAAACATTTCTAAATCCTTTACTATTACAAAAATGGAGGATCCTTCACCAGTATTTACAAAAAGCTTGGTATGTATGTCAACATGACATTCAACCGTCCAGACAAACTATTAACAATTTTTACAAAAGACATCGCATCAGAAAATCTGGTTTTACTGGGAACAATTTGTCGTCCCTGTTTTTTTCGGATATTCCGTCCTGTATAAATCATCGTCTGAAATGCAGAATAAAATTTAAACTGCAAAGTCTCAGAATACCATCTATACAAATATCTACGATATCATATAAGGAACATCTCTGTTGCTGGATTTACATACAAGCTCCGTTTAACACGAAAAATACTAACATATACGAAACATAACAAAGGATCCTTTTGTGTTTGTGAACATGTAAATATAGTAAAACTTGCTCATCTCGACTAGGTCAAAATATGTAATACAACTATCATGTCTGTCCATTTCTAAACGTGTCACTAACAAATCATCTGTATAAATTATTATAGACTCTTTACAAAGAAGAAACTTTTCATAGCATTTTATCAATATGTGACAAGAGATCTTAAAATACACTATATTGAACTGTAAAATACAAAATCAAATGTTACAATCAAAATTCAACCTGTTTACAATCAACCTCAACATTCATCATACAAAATGTTTACATAATACCTCAACATTCATCTTATAAAATGTCAACATTTTAACAATCATTGTACAGACAGTGTCAAAACTCGATCATTCAAAGCAATTGTTGAGCTAAACTTGTGTTCTATATGTGCATAGGTATATTATTTAGATCGATATTCTCTCTTTAAACAAACTGATAAACATATCACCCTATCCATTTAATATGATAAATTCAATTCAATGGCTGAATAAACTGTGTCAAAAATTAATTCAAAAACAATTATATTATTTTATATATTGTCATAGCTTGCCTTTACAGTTGGTCAATGCCTACAAAGATTATAAAAACATTCACTGTACACGCCCCCCATCATTCTCATTTGTTACAGCACTCAGCAGCCATTTATATACAGGCACTTTTATAGAAGGCAATCTATATATACAGTCCCTTACTCACAATCTATGTTCCCTCAACAAAGTAGCAATCCTATTTGACAATAACAAATGTTACACTTATCAGGTCTGCAGATTTTCTTTTGAAATACATGTAAAAGGATAAATGTTCCCTTCAATAATCTATCAGAGGAGACAATGAACATGTTACTTCTTTATATCAATAAATAACAGAGAAAGAGGGAGTTTTTGTGATATCACAATTGTGACATCATCATTATGACATCATCGTCAAAACGGAAGTAAAAACAAACAAAAAAAATCTAGAAATATATGAACAAGAGTAGTCTCTACAAGTTATTGATAAGAACACATTGGATGTGTATAAATTACTAAATCACCCCCTACATATAAATAAGAATATAATTCAATCTATTAACTTGCACCAAATATCCGACCAGTTTTCTGGATGTACATGTACATTAACATTGCAAGAGATATTTTCCCATTAGACAACATAAATGCATACAATAAATGCTTAATTTAAGCTGGTATTTGCTAAAAACAAAAGAAATAACATACAAACTTAAAGATTGCACAACACTTTACATATGATATACTCTTTATCCACATTTGATTACACATCACACCAGGTAGAATACTGCTAGAACACAAAATTTAGTTGTATCTATATATACACATGTGGAAAAAATGTCAAGTGTATAATTTGTGGGAGCCAAAATGTCTTAAAATGTCAAAAATCTTAAATTTCACATCCCAGATCAGCGTTGGTATGTCTTAGTTAAACAATTCCTAGAATAAATCTTTTTGTCAAATTCATTTAAGATGGAACTACTTTTTTGTACTCAATAACCCCTTGAACCTGTTAACCTCATACAATTACTACTTCTTAACTTTGTTTCGGTGCTAAAAACAACTTTATTTTTGTTGAAATATCTGAAAATGACTATATCTGACCCATTTTGACAACCCGACAAATTATACATTACAATAACTTCTTTATGAATTTTTTTAGCAACTTGGATGTCAATTTCAATTTAGTTTACACTTAACCTATTACAATTAATCAGTGCAAGTTAAATATATCTCGAGTATATTGAAAGAATATTTCACAATTTTTTTTTTCATGAAAAGATTACCAGTTACTGCAACTATAACAAATGTTTGGTTATCAAGGAAAAAGTTTTTTTTTAAAGGCGACACAGGAAAAATACACTGTAATCATGAGAAGCTAAATGCATGTAGTTCACACTTCCATTTTTCAAAATTTACACTTAATTCTGAATTTGAAAATATTGTTCCCAATAAAAAAATTGCTTGATTACATCATAACAGATATAACCAATCATGTACATGTACTATCCAAACTGTAGTTACAAAAATGTCAGTAAAAAGTTTTTTTTCTTTAATGTTTATAATTTCAAAGGAGTTTCAAAAACACTCAACATTACACCATCAGGAAAGATTTTAACAATCAACCATTTTTCATGCTTTCCTCCCTAAACACAAGTTAAAATCCACAAACCGTCTTATCACAATCAATGCAAACCCTCCATTACTAAAAATTATTAATCACATGTATATAAAAAGGTAGAGAATTTATTTTGCACATACTATTCTATAAATAAGAGATTCATCGACGAACAGTACACAAACACAATGCCTAAAGAACATTTTGTTCCCTTATTTATCACATTGTCCATTAAGTCACACAACATCTTTTTATTATATTTTGCAATAAAAGCAATTAATTTGTTTCTACACTCCACTAAAGCACTTTTCTTCCTATATCAGAAAACATTGTTATGTCAAACTGAACTTTCGCAGTATGAAAAACAACATTGACAACATAATGTTTATATAATTGATGTGCATCTAAGACAACCTTTGGATTGAAAAGCATCTGTAATGCACACTTCCAATGATTCCATAAATGCTAAAGTTAATTGGTGTAAATAAATTAGAATTCTAATCTATATGCCGAGGAGCTTGTCTCATGATCTTGTAACTGGATGGTACATCTGCTAGCTGATGGCGCTATCTCGACCTTTTCTTCGGCCAATCTTTCTTTGTGTAAACTCATCCATAACCTCAGTGTCTCATTATCGTATGTTGGTATCACTGTGACAGGTAGCGACTTATCTTCCCAAGTCTTCTTTCCTTCCAATAAAGCGTCGAGGACGTGCGTGTTAGGTGAAAGAGCACTGAGAACATAATATCTAGCTCGAACACGTTTGAAGAATTCTACATCACTGTAACTTGGATTACCATGGTTTGGAATATAAGTAAGATCCATATAGAATGGATGAAAAGGTGGGAGGGGAGGCATTTTGACGGCTGTTGGTGATGCCCTAGTGCCAGTTGCGGTTGCTGGTCGCTTAGTTCCATTCATTTTAGATTTTGTATCACTGCCTCCAGCAGGAGCTGTGGCTGGTCTAGATTTAGGAGCAGCTTTGCCACCAGAAGAAAGCCTTGAAGAATTGCCTCCGGTTGATAGTCGAGAGGCATTAGCTGTATTACCACCTAAGGAAAGACGACTTTTGGACTTATCAGGAACTCCATTGCTTGCAGCTGGTTTTTTAGTAGCTGAAGTTGGTCTTTTAGCAGTTGCTGCTTTTTTAGCAGCTCCTGTCTCATTCTTCTCACCTGGGGGAGCTGGTGAAGGCAAACCCATTGGTTCACCCCATTCTGATAATGGATTGAAAGCAGCTGGTCCTCCAGCTGGTGATAAATCTTGATCAGGTGTACTGGACCTATCCTCTTCATAAGCTTTATTGTAATTATCAAATGGGTTATTTCCAGGTTGTTCAATATTCTCAAAAGGGTTGCTCATTGGACCTGCTCCAAAATTTGGGGCACCAAACTGCTCAAAGCCATCTCCAAATGGATTGGTTCTTGGAACAGATGCTGAGGCAAAAGTTTCCTTCTCATCAATACCATCAACTGAATCTCCATCCTGTTCATCTATTTGATGATATCCAATTTGTCCACCATGACTAGCATCAGTATAGTCTGATTCTGGTGTCATAAGATTGTCACTCATCTGGTCTGCAAGGGAATCTGTTGGTGCTACATGACTCTCTTTAGCCATAACTTTTCCATCTTCAGTCTTCACTCCTTGATTTTCACTTAAGCTGTCTTGAATCAAGCATTTCTCATCTGTAGCTTCTTCCTGATCAAAAGAACTACTCTCTTCATCATCTTCATCCGACTCATCACTTTCGTCTTCAAAGGATTTCTCTGTACTTTCTCTTTGCTCTGGAGACATGGACCTCTCAATACTTTGCCTTTGTTCAGCGTCTTCACTTGGAGATAGGGATCTGTCAACACTGTCTCTCGATTCCATTTCAATATTTCCGCTTTTTTGTTCAACTGGGCTCATTGATCTCTCAATGCTGTCTCTTTCTGTATCATTTATGTTTTCTTTTAATGGTTCTTGAACATCCCTCTCAATACTGTCTCTTTGGTCATCACTTGAAAAAGGACTGCTTTCTCTAACATCATCTCTTTCAAGAGAATCTCTATTAATATCCTGTGCACCTAATTGAGAATCTGGACTATCTGCTCTTTCTCCTTCTGATTCTACAGCTTCTTCTTTGTCATATTCACTTACTTTTCCAGTCTGACAAAGACTGTCTTCAACTGATGCTAAATCATTTTCATTTTTAGCATCACTGATGAATTCTGAGTCTTGTGATTGGGGAGCAAAGTCATCCTCTTTTATCTGTTCAATCAAAGATTCGTCTTGCTCAAGCTGGTCAGGCTCTGGGCTTATAAGTCTTTCTAAAGCATCAGGAACTTCAGGTGTACCATGGTCTACTGTTTCAAGTTCAGGTTCATCGTCTTGAACAGGAATATCTGGCTCTGGTGAACATTCTGGAGAACTTCTATCATAAAGTTGCTCAGATGCCTTTGATGGCAATTCGTCTCTTTCAGCTTCAGATATACCTTGTTCAAATGATTCAACTTCGTTCACTTTTTCTTGAACATTTAAACCAAGTTCTGGTGATATCTCAGGAACACATTCATTTTGAACATTCTCTGGCATAAGTTCATTTTCTTTTTCTAAACTTTCCTGACTTTCTTCTACCTTTTCATCTAAGTTCATACTTGAATCTTCTACAGGAAGCTGTTCTGTTACTTCTTCCGGCACCTGTTGTTCTTTTTCAGAATCTTGTGCAGCCTGAGCAATCTCAGGTTCCATATATCCCAGATCATTTTGATCTGCAGTTCCTTCAACATTTTCATCAAAGTTCATACTTGAATCTTCTATTGGGAGCTGTTCAGGTTCTTTTTCTGGTACCTGTTGTTCTTTTTCAGAATCTTGTGTAGCTTGAACAATTTCTGGTTCATCAAAACCTAGATTTGTTTGGTCTACAACTCCAAATTGTTTCATTTCATCTATATCATCATTTGCTTCAAAAGAACTTTTACTCTTTTCAATATCTTCTAGATCATCATTAAGAGGCTCAACATGTTCTTTACTTGCAACAGATTGGTCTTCAACAATAAAATCTTTCTCTGTTTCTTCACTTAAATCTTTCTCTTGCACATCTTCTGGCAAAGAGTTTTCAACTTCATCTGGAGTTTCAAGCATTGTGGGATGTTCAACTTTCTCTTCAACTGGTACTGTACTTTCCTCATCATAGTCTTGGGATTCTTCAGCCTCTTGTTTAACAGGCAATAAATCTGGTTCATTTGTGTTTGGTGTTATTTCTGGTTCAGATATGACTTGGCTTTCCTCTTTAGGACTAACAACTGGGATTACATCAGGTTCCTGACCATAGCTTTCAGGTGCATATGCTACAGGCTCAGGGAGGGCTTGTGGCTGTATTTCTTCAGATGTATCATCCTCAGGAGTCATGACTTCTTCAATGGTACCACCATTCTGAGCAAATGGTCCATCAAATGGTTTATTATCAAACATGGCTTCATGCATACTTCCAGACATAAGATCCCCATGAAAACTTCCTTGCATTGCATTTTTTGCATTCATATCATCCATTAAATCCTCATGCATACTATCAGCCATACCACCAAACATCTGTGGTAATCTTTGATCTGCTTCTGTAGCTTGCTGAGCATTTAAATCTTGTTCAATATCTTGATCTTCATCATAAATACCTAGCTCAAGCATCTTTGCTTTATCAAGTGTACCAGTATTTTCATGAACAGCCGGAGGTTGACTAGGTTCAGGGACAGAAGATGGTGAAATATCTATCAGAGAATTTGATTGCTCATTTGTCGCTGGGGTTGGTTGTAGAGGTTCCGAACTAAAAGCAGGCAAGTCAACTGATGATTCTTGGCCTCCATTTGTAAATGGTGTAGATTGAGGAGCAGTATCTAAAATGTCTGGGACATGAGCTGGGGGAGTAGTAATAGCTTCAGCTTGTTCCTCTTTCTTGGTGCCTGTTTTTGCCTCCTTAACTGGAGTTGCAGCTTGCTTTGGTGAAGAAGTTGAGCTTTTAGCAGGCCCCTTTGGTTGAGTACTTGTTTTCTTGGGCTTATCAGCTTTTTCTGCCTTATTGGGTTTCTCAGGTTTTTCAATTTTGCTTGCTTTCTCAACTTTGTTTGGTTTCTCAGGTTTTTTGTTTACCTTTTCTACTTTTTCTGCTTTTATCGTCTTTTCTGTTTTTGAAGTCTTTTCTTTTTCCGGAATTTTCATAGTTTTCTTGTTTACATCTTCTTTTTCCTTCTTAGCCCTCTGTGCAGGAGGTGCAGTCGGTTTAGATCTTGGAGTAGAGGGCTTGGGTGGAGCATTTTCTTTGACATCCTTTTTTGCATTTTCACTTTTTGGGGTAGTAACTGGTGATGCCTTTGACCTAGCTGGTGGTCTTGAAGAAAGACCTGCAGGTTTTTTTGCTGCTGGTTTCACATTCAAAGACGTCTTGGTGCATTGTGGATGCTTCAAAATATCAAGATTCTTCAACTTCTCTAAACCTTCTATAACTTTATGCTGGGGAGCATTACCAGGGAAGAAGATTCTGGTAATATTGTCATCGGGACTGCTTGGCTGCCAAACAAGTAAAGCACAGACTGACAGAGTGTTGGGAAGAGGCATGTGCTGGTTAAGTCCAAATTGGGCAGCATTTTGGTTCCACTGCTGGTAGAACTCTTTCATCTCTTTGCTATCTGTAATTGGGTTCAAAATGTACATATCCAGGGAACCAATTCCAACCTTGTGGTACAAGTTGATTGGCTCTATTGTTGAACCAGACTGGTTTCTGGAGCAAGAATGTGGAATTGGTCCGATCTGCTTGGCATACTGTATCAATTTGTTACCTTCTGCGGCTAAATTCACATGCAAAGATTCTTCTTTTGGCATACTTGCCTCTGTGTTAGGGAGAGCCTTGATTTTGTCAGAGGCATTAACATACATAAATCCAATCTCTGGGTGTACATTCTCAATACTCTTTCTCTCCAGGACTGAACCAAATCCATAAAGGTTGTCTGTACCAAGGTGTGTCATTAAAGCGGCATCAATCCTATCTAAATGGCGTGTGAAATCCCAGAAACATGCCTTCCTGCTATATCCTCCATTAACCAAAAGGTTGAATCCACTGATACCAAACAGTGCAGAATCCCCTTGGCAACCAGGGAAAATGTACAGTGTAGGGCGACTAAATCTGATATTTCCAACAACATCGGACGACTGCAATAATTCATTCAACTGCCTAACTCTCACAAAATTACTTATATATGCTGCAAATTGTAGGACGCCATGCAAGTTTTCTAATTTATCAGTTGGATTCAATTTAACATTTAAGAGTTTCGAAAAGTCATTCTTGGCTATGTGACCATTAGACCAATCCCCCTCTGATCCAGTGACAATGTGGAGGCTGCTTCCTTCCTGTTGACGGACTGCATTACCAACATCCTGGTCTTTGAAAGCATGAGCAAAGTTGTTGAATGTGAATGTGTCATCCTGTAGTATCCAAGCTCCTGAACCCTGAAAAATAGAACATTTTGACATTTAACCTCTCCTTAACTCTACTAGACAAATCACTAACTCACTTAAAAGAAATAATCTTGGACATCTGTACAGACTCAGTGACATTGACCTGAAACTTAATTAAGGACCTGTCAAAGAATGTTCTAAAAACACTAACAAGATATCAGTCAATATACAAGTGTGTAAATAAACAATATTTATTACATGCTTTTCGGTGGTTTATAGAAATATATCAGTGATATAAAACTGGTAATTTCACTGTTTGAAACAGTGAAATTACCACTTTGATAATTTCACTGTTTTGAATTTAAACCCGTTTAGTTGTTTCAGTGAAATACCAGCGTGCACAGTACTGGGTACCAACTTAATGATGTGACGTCGTAAATGACGTCACGTTTTATTATTATTTGGCGCACTTTTCATTCAGTATTAGGTTTAATGTCTTTTTAAAACGTTTCTTTGCATATAATAAAAAGAAAATTTGTTTAGTTTAGTGTAAGATCGAAATATATTTCACCTTGTGAACACCAAAAGTTCATATTTCACTCGTGGCTGCGCCACTCGTGAAATATACCTTTTGGTGCTCACTCGGTGAAATATATTTCGATCTTACACTGAACTAAACAAATATCCTCTATGTAAATGGTGTTCAAATCGAATGTTCACATGTCAAATAACATTTATAAGCTAAATAATAGTCTGGTCACAGTGGTTAAATTTTAGCTTTTCTGGTTTTCTTCCAATTCTAACACATTTATTTGGTCATATCGACTGTTGATCCATCCATGGCTTTAATTAAAGCTGTGATCCATCTAATCAACTTGGTAAATTATTTCCCCACTGAAGGTTATTTAACATTATTCCATCGATTCTTTTCCTATGATCTTATCAGAACGGGAATAAAACATTAATTATCACTTAATATTGAAGTGTGTATCATTCAGATGGTTTGTAATTAATCCCATAGGCCTATGGCGTTTCTGATAATTGTTATCGTTCTTACACTGTACAATATTTACATCTTTTCAGTTAAAATCTATATCAAATACATGCTGAATATCCAGAATGGTTTGGATTTTTCAAAGTCTGGACAACTTCCATTTTGAAACAATCCACTATCAAGTTTATCGATATCATAATGCAGTAAGAAAGTTGGGTCAATATAGTGTCAGACAGAGAGCATAAATATGCATCTAGCCTTGCTCTTTTCTTGTGGCAAAGGCTATTTAGTTAGTTTAGTGTCAACATATCGTCACCTTAGTGCAATAATTGATTAACTGCTATTAAATTTAGGACTTATTCTGTTATTGCACTAAGGTGACGATAAAAAATTTAACCTCTACAGTTGTATAATTTTCAGACACAGTAAATGATACTCTAAGCATTTTTAGGCTTGTATTTATTTTACAGTGGTTATTGTCCTTCATAAGGCTTTAAGGCATTAATAAGATATTTACCTGGAAGGCATGTCCAGAATATATCAGATGTTTGTGTTTAGTTGGGGTAACAAGGAAGTTCTTCACAGCAGCTGTCACTGTCTGTGCCTGTGGGTTGACCAGAATCTCTGTTGACAAACTCTCCGAGGCATGTCGAATAATTCTCTCCCCTGAAAATACAGAAAGTCTTAATTATGTACATGAATAACTAGTACATCCCATCTTTTGTTTGTCAAGTGCATCTAATAAATGTATCAATCATTGCACATTCTCGTTTGATTCAAAATGTGTTTTTTTCCCCAACAATTCACAATAAATACAACAAGAGTTAATGTGGGAAACAATTTTTAAGTACGAGGTTGCACTGGTGCCATAACCTATGTACTCTTGACAAGTCTTCTAAAGAGTCCAGCTAATCATCATATTTAGTTCAAAACTGTGTATAAGTTTGCTTTCGATCAATTTAGTTAGTTTAGTGCTTTTTCTCCTTCAGACAAATGGCAGAATTTTGTTATATTATTTCTCCCTAAACAAATAGCACAAATCATCCAAATGTCAGACAACATACCAGGAAATCACACCCATAATGCAGGAATGTGAAAATAACACAAGAATTGTGCAATAGTAATGTTGTATGTGTTATCTAATTTCTTTCACATTTTGATTTACAAATGTACACATGTACTATCAGACGTATTTGGCCATTTACTCTGTGTCAATTGCTTGTTTTGGCCATATATTGCACAGATTCAGTGTAACTATTGTACAGTTTTTGCATTATTTACCCAATCCTATGATACAGGATATACATGGTGAAATCAGCACATATAACTAACACTGTCTGTAAAATTATCAAGTTTTTTTTTACATCATGAAAAAATCAATACACACAAAAATTATGAAATTTTTGTGTATAATAATAATTGTAAAGACTTATATATGTATTGCATAAGGGATCACAAAAGCACTTTTGATACAAGTGAATAGCATGCAAATTCTATAATAAAATAAATAGAACATTACGTATAGCATAAATACATTAAAGGATCTATAGTGAGAAAATGTAAAGCAACTGTATGTAAATAAATCACGGTTACAATTGGGCAATATTCCATGGCATTAACAAACACACACAGTGTTTTCATGTACACATTCCATGTAAGTCAAGGACAACGATGTAACAGATTGTTAACTCACTATTCTAAATCATATTATCACCTCCTTCACTGTAATCAGTATTCTCATAACCATATAAACATTCATTTTTTTTATAACCATCAAAAATTCAAATTTCAAGGACATAAAGACTTGTCAATATGTTTATCGTGCTACATGTTTATCTGGTCCAGCCAAAATCTATTATACAACAGAATCATTTTAAACATAACCTGATTACATAAAGAATACTGAAGACCGATCAATCTGTGCATGAGGCGTGTCTTTCACTACTTGCTATATCCAAAATTGCACATGTATGCGAGTCATAACCTTTAACCTGCTGATTTTCTTAAATGAACATGTCCAGCTTCCTTTTTGGAACTTTCCATTATCAATTTTAGGGATATTAAGATGAAAATTTGAGGTTGGGAGAGCCTGGTCTGACTTCACAGATATACTGGTGGCAAAGGCTAGTAAGTTGTTTGTATTGGTGAAAAAAGTATAATTCATGTACTTTAAATGCCAATTTTGGTAAGCAATTAATAGTTATGTCCTTTAGATAAAGTTATTCCAAAAGTTCTCTATTTTCAGCTCTGGTGGCATCTTAGAGCCCATCAAACTTCGTTTAAAATCTTCAAGAAGATTGTCCATGCATCAAGACAAAAGACTTACTTAAACAATTTTTAAAGGGGACAATTTAAAGATTTTATATACACCTTGGTTTTTTGAAGAATTTCGTATTCATGAGATTTATCCACTCATGACTGCAATTTCTATTGAATATTGTACTTTTGCCTCTGCTAAGCTTAAATTCAATATACCAGAAACATCACAACATAATCATTTGAATGTTTGAATGAATGAATGAATGAATGAATGAGCATGATTTTATACTTAATGCAACACAATTGAGCAAAAATAACAAAACCGCAGGACAAATGTGAACAAGACAATTATAAAAATTATATAATTATATTAAAAGTATTACAACATGGAAGTGTTACCAATAATATCGATGTGATAGCATGCAATATTTACAACACTGGTGAAATGAATGTCTTTGTCCCCACAGCTTTTATATAACTTTACACAAAAATCCTCATAGCTGACCAATATTTCAAATAATTTAAAGTTTAAATTTTTATTTGTTCAGTTATCTTAAATCATTTCATTCCAATTTCAAATTACATGTATATTTTTTTTATTCCAGTTTCAAGTCTCTAGTTTATCCCAATTTAAAGTTTGCTAGTCTATCCTAGTTTCAATTTGATATCCAAGTTTCAAGTTACCAAGTTTATCCTGGAGAAGTTATCAAAGTTTTCAGATATAATTAATCCCAGTTTTATACAGACTTCCCGAAATACGTCGGTCCGACGGACATGTCCGATAAATTTTGATCAGGTCCGACGAGTTTTTATTCCGGATCGGTCCGACTGTCCGGCTTTTATCCAAGCCGCATGTATACAAAATGGCGTCGCTAAAGGTGCCAAACCTTGGAAAAATAAAAAATCTACGTCAGAGGAACAGGCAGAACAGCAGTAAAAGGATAAAAAGAATAGACCCGAGACAAAATTGAATGAAAAATAGAAGTAAGACAGTGAATCGTTGGTGTATGATAGGAAGGAGATGAAAATGCGCTGTAAGGAATGTGCCGATTTTTACGGCGAAAAAATTAAAAACAAAAAGTGTCTTAGAAATACAAACACAAGTTATTCTTTTATTTTGATCAATTTTATTTGGTCCGACAGATTTCGTTTCGGTCCGACAGATTTTCATGGTTTGTCAGACCGAATGTCTGACAGTTTTTTTCAACTTTCGGGAAGTCTGTTTATATCACCCCAGTTTCTCTCAAATTCAAATCTATTTATCCCAGTTTCTAGTTACCAAACTTATCCCAGTTTTAAGTAATCATTTTTTTTTAAGATATAAGAAAACAAATCTCAACACAATATTTAAGGAGATGAAAGATAGGTGACTGATTAACATCAGGAAAATTCTTACCCTCCTTCAAATGGTATCCATACTTGGATGCTAAACAGAAATGCAAGATATTTATATAGTGCTTAATCTTTCCTTCTAAAACAGTACACAATCAGTTGAAACATGTTTCAATTTTGTGGTTTTTGTTTGTTGCTGTTATTTTTATGCTGATTTAACCACAATTTTGGTGGGTTTTTTTTGTGGTTGATACACAAAACCTGTTTTCCAGGATTATTAATTTCCCTGAACATAATTTCTAAATGTGCAGTCAGAGACAAACAACCATTAAAATCAATGTCCGATATCATTATCAAATGTCCCAGAGAAATTTCGCCTTGCCTAAGTATCGAACCAGAACATAACCATGGATTACCATTCTGAAGCTCTCCCTACTGAACTAAGCTGGCAGACAAAACATACCATTCACTGTATATATCTTCAAAGAAACTTCTATTTATAGTTTTCAAGCAGAAGGGGGATGATAGGCCTTAATCTGCCATTAATTTAGCTTTTCTTAACTACCACTTATGTTTTTTCAGAGGGGACATAAATTTAAGCAAAAACAAGTTTTGTTAATGATTTAAGATTGCTGGTGTACTAACACTTAAAGTTAGTTTAAGTAAATTTCCCTTGTGTATATAATGACAAAAAGCACATTGAAGGAGTGCTTGTCAATAAAAAGAATGACCTTGACATTCATCTTCTAAATAATCTCATGCAAAAACTGCTTGACCTAATTTTATGATAAAACCATGTGATCAACTCTTTAACAACATGGCACACCATTACTTTTATTTTTTCTGTCTTCTATGTAACCATATGTGCTCACGTTTTATTACATGTTGTGAATTCATGGATGTTTTCCTTTAAAGTCAATACATAGTTTTCCCCAGGTGTAGCATTCCTTGCATACCAGAATGGTTAATGTTATTTTCAATCAATAGATTTTCTAGGAGATCTTAGAGAGAATCATCATGTATAAAGTTCATTAGAGTGACAAAGTAAAAACAAGGTCTCTCAGGACATGTTAACACCTACATGGTCTGTAACAGATCACCTCATAAAATAACATCAGGTCAAATAATGCCACCACTACCTCGTTAAGTTACTTAAGGTCAAATGCTGCCGGGCCTAAAACAATAACATGTCAAATTCTGCTTACAGAATACAAAACAGGATCTCTTAAAGTAAGATCAGGTCAAAGTCTGTTAAAAAGATTTTTAACAGGACTTCAAAATTGTATCAAATCAAATGCAAATAAAAGAATTTAAAAAAACAACAAAAAAAACTCAAAAATAATATCAGGACAAAAAGAGTTAATAACAGGACCTTGTTAAGTAACAATAGGTCAAATTCTCCAAGAACATTAACAGGACCTCATAAAATTATTTCAAGTCAAATTCTGCAGACAGAATTCTCAATTCTTACCAGGAACAAACTTATCTAATGCAAAGTCAAATAAAACTGGGATTCCATACAAATGTTACATCATTCTGTGACATGACATTCCAGAAACAGGACACTTCAATTTTTTCATTAAATCAAGACATTTCTCTTAAAAAACCATCCTATCTGACAAAAAGTTAACAGTTATTGGACAAGAAAAAGCCTACAAGAGCAGATACTTGCACATGTTGTCTTTAAGAATTTGACATGTTGTCTTAGTTTAAGTATTTTAACTTATCACTTGATGACATCGAAGTAATCCTTTTGCAAGTACCGACAACACTTATCTAGTACAAAATTCTTGTAAATACAGGTTTTACTATATAATTCTACGTCTATAGGAACCGATCAATGTTTTAACATAGAATTTCCATGTCAGATTTGCTTCATAAAGTCTCTGGAAGATTAAGAAACAGCACCCAGACAACATTGATTATTTTTCTCTAGATTCTTCCAAAAGCAGCAGTGGTCGGGAGGGAATGCTCAACCCTTCATTTGCTCAATTTGTATAATGGATTAAAAAGGATTTCAATAACAAAATACAAAATTGAGCCTTTTAACAGCCTAGAGCCCAGTCTGACTGCACAGATGTACAGTCTGGGGAAAGCAAAGTCTAATCTCTAGCATGTTGAGAGCTCAATACAATACATACTGATTTAGAGACAAAACATTAGAACTTAAAAATTGAATAATTTGCACTAAAACAACAGCTTTTAGTAGCTTATGATATTTTTTTCAACAAAAGTCCCTTCTTGCCTTCATTACAGATTCAAAAGTCTGTATCCCTTACTATTAATAACATCTGACAGTTAAGCTCTGAAGACTTTCTTGTGGGTGGAAACGCTGTCTATTTTGCTTACTTTGACAAACTTGTTAATCACTAAATTTCCCATATCACTTAATGATTCACTTTAACCTTTGAACCTAATGATTAAGTAAAAATAAAGACATCTGCTGAATTAAGAAAGTTGATGGCCTTGTAACAGTCTAATTGTTTACATCGAGATGAATAGACTTTAATATAGACACTCAAAAACACTTATAAAACACTGTCTTAATCATGCATCTTAAAACTTTTGACCTCAAGACTGAATACAGACATTCTTCCTTATTGTCATTCTGATTATAAAATAAAGGAAAATAGCCAAGTTAAACAGTGTTTAACAAGTTTCTGTGCAATATATTGACAAGAACAAGGAGTTTTCTGCACCAAAGAAACAACAATCAGAATAATTTTAGCATTGTGCAATTATTTATACAAGTTTCTCCTGATCATGGCCAGAAAACAATGACCCCCGCCCCCTTTCACAGGAAAACAGGTTATATTCTACTTAGAATTTTGGTTATAATAGAATTTATTTCAGCTTGAATGTGTAGCCAAATATAAGCTTATATCCAATATGTTCCTGGAACCAACAAGTACTAAGCAATGAGTGTAAAGTGTCTTGCTGAGGGAAGCAAAGGCTTGCTGTAGACCACAGGGCCAGCAATCGTAACACTTCAAAGTCCGATGCACTAACCACTAGGCCATGCCGCCACTACTTCGATTTTGAAGCAGTTGCTAATGAGCTACACCTTTTGGAACAAATTAAGTGAAGATAAATATAATTAACTTGTACATTGTATATATACTATATGTTTCACTTTTGAAAAGCAACCTTAAGTTTGAAAAGGACAAGAAGCTGATAAATAATTTTTTTTTTTAAACTTAAACTTTTCTGCGACTATGACTTCATTAAGAACAATCTATATATTTGTGCACACCCATTCTCATAAAATAAACATGTGTGCACTTTAATGTGGCGGAATAAAAGTGCATTATTATTAATCTGCCACAAAATATTGACTGGTTCCAATAATCAATAAATTGTAACCAGTCCTGTGTGAAGTCTCCATACCTACAATAATTATTATAGCTTGTAGCTGTTCTGCCTACTTGAACAACATGCCATACATGTTACAGAACAATGGTTGCAAGGTTTAATTCAATTATATTGGTCTATAAGTTTTTGATGATCCATCCCATTTTCTGATATTGAACAGTTGGAAAAATGTGCTTTTGATATTACGACACACTTCAAACTACACTAGTGTAGAATGACCCCTACCAAGCCCCCTGTAGAATGACCCCTACCAAGCCCCCTGTAAAATGACCCCTACCAAGACCCCTGTCGAATGACCCCTACCAAGCCCCCTGTAGAATGACCCCTACCAAGACCCCTGTAGAATGACCCCTACCAAGCCCCTATAGAATGACCCCTACCAAGCCCCTTGTAGAATGACCCCTTCCAAGCCCCCTATAGAATGACCCCTTCCAAGCCCCCTATAGAATGACCCCTACCAAGCCCCCTGTAGAATGACCCCTACCAAGCCCCTGTAGAATGACCCCTACCAAGCCCCTGTAGAATGACCCCTACCAAGCCCCTGTAGAATGACCCCTTACCAAGCCCCCTACCATGACCCTTATGGGGTAACGGACATCTTGGTACATGTAGAAACCAGGAAGCATGTGTAAGATAGTTTGACAATTTGAGCAAAAAATATCTCTTTTATTAAATAAAAAATGCTGACTAGAGAATCACAGAAGTCTGTGTGCCTTATTTCAACAAATGTTTCTGTTTAAGGCAGCAATTTAAAAACATAATGAATTGATTATCACTGGTGCCGAGTATTTACTTTGAACTATGATCATTTCAATAGTATCATAATTAAATCATTAAATCAACAGTAAAGTATTCACTTACAACAGCTGTACAATATTTGAATAAATCTGGCGATTTTTCACCAAACTAAATCAATAGTATTGAGTATTTCACACGAGGGATAAGTTGTTTTATTTTCAGCCGTGATTCATGTACGGATGAGTCATCAAGTTTATGACTCGTGTAAGCATATTATTATTCCAGTATGACCTTGCATATCCCAGCAGATAATTACCATTATTAAAATCATTGCGGATTTTCTCTGACAAGTGATTCAATACAAAGAGATTTAAAAAGACATTCTTAAATAGATGCATGTAAAACAATAACAAATTAACCTAATTAATAAATTAAGATCTCTCACTGTATTCAATGTGGCACAGATATTGTACATGATTACATAATCATAAGCAAACTGCCTGAGAAACTATTATCAATTCTAGCCCACAGAATCATGTATCGATTCATCCAATGGCATATTATGACTCTATATTCCAATTCCTATATTCCAACTACATTCGAAGTCTTACATCAATTCATCTTAACTCCCATTAAATCTTAAACCATATATATCATACTTAGCTTTCAGTATATTTGGAATAATTATGTCAATTGACCTTTAATAGCTGAAATTACATCTCAGACCATATATATTTTACCTCACTCCATTATACATGTATAATACCAATTTATACATCGATTTATCTCCATCCCTGAAAGAAAATCCAAAACCTACAATAATTTATTTTTGCTCCCAATGCGCCTTAATTTTTCATAAATTATCATAAAATTATATATTTACCATTTGGGCCTTCTTCGCCTAGATCTGCTTTGTTAGCAATTTGTGCAAGTTCATCATTTATGTCAATACCAGTAGCCTCTGTATCCCAACATCGAAATCCTGAAAATAGATAAATAACATAATAGTCATCCTAAATGAATGTTGCAATAAAAAACAAGAACGATTGACAAGAATGTGAAACTGCCTAAAATTGGCCCTATATTGCATAGCAAAATACCACAACAAAAAATTGTTTAATATAAAAAATGACCATATATGGTTCCAGTAATGTTTATTCTGTAAAGCAACTTTTGACGAATCATTAGCATGACACATATTAATAGTTTCAGATTCTAAAAATCCCTAACAGATCAGTCATAGTTTCTAGTGATCCCTAACATAAGTAATAGTTTCTAGTGATCCCTAACAGACAAGTTACATAGTTATAGTGATCCCTAACATAAGTCATAGTTTCTAGTGATCCTTAACAGACAAGTTATAGTTTATAGTGATCTTTAAAAGACAAGTCAAGGTTTCTAGTGATCCCTAACAGTTATTCATACAAATGTAGTTTCTAGTGATCCCTAACAGACAAGTTCCTATTTTAATTATTCTTAAACTGTGCTATTGTTCATGATATTTCCCTCAAGAATCTATATCTCAAAACAGTTCATCAAACAGTTTCTTTTTATTTATAACAGTTTGGTCATGTAGAGTCATCCCAAACAGTCCAGTTGATGCTACAATATCTAGTGATCCCTAACAGTCAAGGTCATTTATAATATACTTTCCCTGATATCATGTAACAATATCTAGTGATCCCAACAGTTTGTAAATATTCCACCCATCATGTACAATATCTAGTGATCCCTAACAGTACGGCCATGTACAAAATATATCCCCCTAATTTTTTACATACAACTTAAATATTTCTTCAATTTTGTATATTACGATTTATAAATGCTAGATATATATTTCACATGAACTTTTTTTTTAGACTTTTATACAATTTTTTTTCATGAGTATATAAATTATTTAGACTGTTTATCCACATTAGAATTTAGTTGTGTCTGTCTATTATATATTTTTATGTCTATTATATAGTTTTATAAGTTTTTATACATATTTTTTTATTTTCGGCCACACTTTAAAAAGCCTTACATGATTGATTGACATGTAAGCTTATCTGGTTGACTAATGGGCAGTAATGGACATACACATATATCTCACATAGATAATCATTACCCTGAGTAGTTTACACTAAAATCCCCAGCCAAAATAACCAGTCAAGCACCTATTAAAACTTGAATTCCAGTCTACCTTTCAACATTGGAGAAGTTCCAAAGCCTGGCTAACATTTTAAAATAATGTTAAATTGAATATTTAAGTAAAATAATTACATCCTGCCTGAATACATAATTATCTTAACTTGTGCTATCTGTTCATGATATTCCCTCAAGAATCTAACAATTTAATTTATTATTATAATCCATAGCAGTCCAGTCATATTAAGTTTCTAGAAATCTCAAACAGTTCATCATACAAGGTTTCTTATGATCCTAACAGTTTGGTCAGGTACACTATCTAGTGATCCCAACAGTCCAGTTGTGTACACTATCTAGTGATCCCTAACAGTCAGGTCATGTATAATATCTAGTGATCCCTGATGTCATGTACAATATCTAGTGATCCCAACAGTCCAGTTGTGTACAATATCTAGTGATTCCTGACAGAGCATGTACAATATCTAGTGATCCCTAACAGTCCGACCATGTACAGTATCCAGTGTTCCCGAACAGTCAGGCCATGTACAATATCTAGTGATCCCTAACAGTTAGGTCATGTACAATACCTTGTGATCCCTAACAGTCCGGCCATGTATAATACCTTGTGATCCCTAACAGTCAGGCCATGTACAATATCTAGCGATCCCTAACAGTCAGGTCATGTACAATACCTTGTGATCCCTAACAGTCCGGTCATTTAAATTATCTAGTGATCGCTAACTGGCCATGTACAATATATAGTGGTCCTAACAGTCCGGCCATGTAAATTATCTAGTGATCCCTAACAGTCCGGCCATGTACAGTATCTAGCGATCCCATACAGTCAGGTCATATACCATATCTAGTGATCCTTAATAGTCCGGCCATATACAGTACCTAGTGATCCCTAACATTCTGGTCATGTACAGTATCTAGTGATTCCTAACAGTCTGGTTATGTACAATATCTAGTGAACCCTAACAGTTTGGTCAAGTACAGTATCTAGTGATCCATAACAGTCTGGTCATGTACAATATATAATGTTCCCTAAAAGGCTATTCATGAACAGCATCTTGTAAACTGTAACAGTACAGTCATATACAATTTCCAGTGATCCCTAAATGTATGATCAAGTATAACATTTGGTGATGAAATAAAGTACAATTTCTAGTCTGATCCATTAGTCTCCAGTCATGTTTAGGCTTCTTTGCAGGCTCATATTTATTTCAATACTGTAGATTATAACAAAATCATAATTTATACCAAGTATTCTTTAGATTTATGATTAAAAAACTTTTTCAAGATTTATTCTGTGTAAATGTCTTAAACATAAAAAATTGTAAATTTCTCAGTTAAAGCCTTATCTAATCATTCAATAGATATCTATGAAAATATTTGACTTTTTGGCACAGACTCTTGCCAGACAAGATTTATATACATATATATGTTTATGTATATTAGCATGGGGAGAGATGTCTACAGTAAAGATATATTAATACATACAAATTCACAAATAACACACACACCATCCCAATCAAAATATTTATTAATAATGTAATAACTAACAGAGGTTTTTAATAACCAACAATGCTATCATAAGTAAAAGTAAATGTCAAATTATCAAAATAACAAACATTCAACAATAAAAAATTGGCAATAAACATATATATGTATCTTGTTAAATCTATCTGCTGCATAGACAATGACACATGGTTTATATATTCAAAACCTATTGTCTGGTCATATTAATACACAAATATTCCCAGCAAGTCTGGTGCAATCCATTTGTCATGTTCAAGCTTCTATTTTTGGGAATGTCCCCTACCAACTTTATGGATAACAAGGTGAAAATATAAAGTTGGTCAGCCAACAGTTAGGAGCCTGGTCACACTGCACGGATCTGCAGGCTGGCCTGGCTCTATACTGGTGGCAGGGGAAAAGCTAATCACTTTCAGTTCCGTTAAAGTCGGCACTGTTTCATTTCTAGATCATAACGTTTATATATGTCTATATCAAAAGCTCACATAAACTTTTTTTAATGATTATGTACAAGAACAAACTGCGGAACATTAATTTCAATCTATTTAATTTCGAACATTTAAACAATTTTTGTATATATACAGTTCAGTATAACACGTGTGGTACAGGTGCATGTACACATGTTACTTATCATCTGGCAAGCCTGTTAACATCATTCTGATTCATTTCGTGAAATGATTCAAACTTTCTATACATCATGTACATAATTATCTCCTAACACAACAGTTATATCTCCTAGAAACTTCGGGACTGACCCTTTTTATCTTGTAAATTCGTGTAATGGACTTGCCCAGCTTTAAATTTGGAACAGTCCATTGCCAAAAGGGGTGTAAGTTTTTTATTATTGTAGGACTCTGATTTTACTGTTAACGATATAATGCATACAGTACGAAAATTTATAAAATCAACGGAATTCAACTAGAATTTACAAAATCAATGAAGGTAACTGTCAACTAAAATAACTTAGAACTACAATGTATCAATATCTTTTGTCCACTCTGCTAAAGGACATTATATCTATCACACTCTTTTTTGGAAAGGAAACTGACCAAGGAGTAAATGGACGGCTAAAAAATTCAAGTAAAATCATTTTCTTCCAGCACTGCCCTGGAAGCATCATTGGATACCCATGGCTGAACCATGAACATTTATCATGATTACATGATTGTTATGTTATGTAACATGTTAATCCTGTATCCGATGATGCCCTTGAAGTAAGTTTGGGCCCAGGTAAATATTTATTATATTAATTGTATTTTCCACTAAAAAAATGTTACACCTGAGCACCTAGATTAACTCTCTTCAGACTGGATTAAACTGGCATATAAAAGTCTTTTATTATCCCTGCAAGCTCTTGACAACAAGCTTAAAGCATTGTTTATTTACATTTAGATAACAGAATTTCATTCCACACTTAACACAAGCATTTTTTCAGGACAGTACATTTACCTATATGTATGCACCCAGCATCTAACTGCATTCCATACAATGTTTTTTCCTCTAGCGTTCAGCGTAAAGCTGTAAAACTCAATTTTCTCTTTCTAGTTACACTGGAGCCTCGTTATAGCGCTCATGTTGGGGTCCATGATCTCAAGACAGCGCTGTATCGAGTAACTTTTTATAACGCTCATTTTGTTAATATAACGAAAATATTGCATTACCCCACCCACCGTCGAAACATATAACGCTTATTAGCGGAAATGATTGTTTACTTACCTATCAATGGATATCAGTCTAAACTTTTTTGATATATTATAATTTATTATTTTGTAAAGCATTACTGATTATGTTTGATATAAACATGAAATTTACGAATTAAAAATATAAACCACAAATGTTCTTATTGTTTATAAATTTCCAGTAAAAAACGGTGTTTACGTGAGTTATGTGTATGTGATACCTAGTTGATGGGACTAAATTAATCGTCTTTCCTGCTGTCTCTTGTGAAAAAATCAGTCATCTTCCGCTGAACTGTACTTTCCCTCGCATCCATCCTGGCATCATGTATGAGATTCCTGACGGCCTGAACTTTAGATACAGTGCTACGCTTTGATGTTTCAATCCAGCACATCACCGTATCTAGAGAACATAACACATCAGAAATTACCGGAGGTGGCTCATACACAATGTTTTCTTCTTCCTCATCAATTTCTTCGGTCGTTGTCTCTCCCCTGACGCTATCGATGATTTCCTCGTCTGTCAACAAGTGGTGGGTGGGGACCTCGTTGTCGGCAGTTATCCAATTCTGGATGCATATATCATCCATCTCAGAATCAAATAACTGTCTAGCTGACTTCAATTCTTCTTCTGTGAAGG